CTCAGTTTGCAGAAAAAGCAAGACATTTTTTTACAAAATTTTTGCTTTTATGAGGTATGTTGTCCTCAACAGATAGTGAGCACTCTTTAAAACACTGCACTTCAGTAAGATATCCAAAAGCTACACTGAGAGAATTAGATTACCAGTAGTATACAGACACTAGGAATGCACCAGCACTTGAAGCTCTCAGGTATGGGCAATTGCTGTTGCATGAAAGCAATTGTTTCTAAAACTGCAATTAACTTACTCTGTTACTGCTCTTTATTTTACTGTTTATATTGCATTAAAACATAAAATGATGCATCTCTTGAAGTGCAACATTCATTTGGATCACTGGGTTGCAGCCTCCCATGGTCATGGGAGTCCCTGAACTGATCTTGGCAGGCTCTGGACAGGTGTAGGCAGGGAAGAATGGCTTTGCCTCCAGAACACTGAGCAAGCTGCACCCCTCTTCTGTTATCAAGAGCTGAACTCATGCAGTTATTCTCCTCAGGTACTTGTTCCACTCCAGGTAGGAAGTAGATTTCATATATACATCCTTACATCCCTATGCAATCCTTGCCTGGTAGGAATGCTTTATAAAAAACCTTCCTTTGCCAGAACAGTGGTTTCCTAGAGTTTTGACTTTGGGAGTTTTCACAGGGGAAGTGTTTCATCTCAACAAACAGTATTGTATCTCCTGACAAATGACTCCTAGTAAAAGAATTGTGAAACTGTGTGGGTTTGTTTCTCTTTGCTACCTCTGCTGCTTGAAGTATTCTTAGGAAGGTCAACTGACCTTTATCGAGCCCTGGCCACTGGCAAGATGGTATCCATAATGAATGTACTTCAAGCAGCCAGTGCTCCAGCATGAGTGTTTTGACATCTGACCCCATCATTACAAATAGTGTAAGACAGAGAAGGTACTTGACTTCTCTTCATACAGGACAGCAGCTTCCAACTGGTGTACCAGATAGTGTGTAAAATACCATATACGTGCACTCTAGCTTGGTAAAAAACAGAAGAATAATGAATCCAATCCTTCGTTTAGTTGAACACAAAAGGTCTTGCTGCTTGTTTTGTTTTTTCACTGTACATATGTACACTGTATTGCTGTCTGGGCAGATGCAAAGGTTACTAATTTCCTGGTATTGTCTAGGTTTGTTATGGTCTCTCGCCTCTAAAGAAGTAGTACCTTGTGAAATTAATGCACCCTGTGATGAGGACTGACTGAAAGGTGGCAACGTGCTAGTCTGGGCCTTAAATACAGTGAGGCTTAGGGTAAATGAAGTGCTTCATCACTACACTTGCTCTTTTTTTATTTTTTTTATTTGTTACTTCTTGCTCTTTTTTTATTTTTTTTATTACTTCTTTTTCCAATCTGAAGAAAATGGCCCATGTTAAGCCAAATAGAATAACAAACATGTATGTTACTGAAGTAACCCTTTGTCCACCTTAGCTGGGGTTTCTGCCACATGAGCTTTTGGGTCAGCTGGTCACACAGTGTGCTACAGGCAAACATCGATGGGAAATCCCAGTTCTTCACTGTGTTGAAAAGAACAAAAATGGTGAGATCCCCTTTGGAGGGGAAAGGCTCAAACATCAGCCCAATGCCTTATAATTTTTTAGTTTGCATAATGTATTAAGTATGACATTTTACTCCCTTAGTAATGGTGTGGATTTCTGTTCATTAAGAGGAGTGTTTATTGCATTCTCAAGGTTTTATGGGGAGAAAAACTTGAAGTTTTGAGATGGACTAGGTTTCTGGTTTAGTGTCATATAACATCTTTTAAAAGAATTACCTCTTTCTCTTTGAACATTGAAACTTGGATCTTATGATGTATCATTTATATAGGGAGAGACCAGCAATACCCACTTAAGTATCTCTATTTTCCCATTTGTACAGTACATCCAAATGTACTTTTGTTTCATGCTGTATTCATAACTGACCTAAAATGAACTTGAGCTTTTGCTGTTGCACATTGTTACTGAATTTAACGGCAAAAAGATTCATCTGCATTGATTGTTTGAGGTTATGGCTCTCCAACTTCCCTCCCTTGCTCCGTAGTTCGGCCAGTGATTTGCAATTGCCCTGTGACACTGGGAGTCACACGTGCTGGCTGCTCTTGGAGATCTTCAAGGGCAAATTCAAATAACTCTGTGGGATTTTCACTTTCTTTGAAAACTCAAACAGTATTGCTTTCTCTGTGCAGAAGGTGTTGTTAAGTAATGTAATTTTTATGAGAAGATTAGGTCTGTAGCTGCAGTCCTATGTTTCGTTCATGCCCTGTTGTTGCACAGTGTGACACTGCCAAGTGCTCTGCCCAGAAGGTAGGGACCAAGTCAGCCCATAAGCAGAAGTGGTCCCTGGGAAAAGGGAAACAGCAACCCGCCTGAACCCGGGGCCCTGAAGAAGTGAGTTTCTTCTCTTTTCTTCACCCAGGGTACTCCGCAGAGCTTTACCGCAAATAAACCAAGGCTAAATGCTTTAGACAAGAGACGTAAATTAATAACTGAGGTTAAAACCTACTAGAAGACCAGCACTTCTTTGGCTGGAGGCTTATTTTCAAATAAAGATGTTACCAGCATCACAAATATGTGACTTTTTATATGCTTTCTGCAGGGCAGCCATTTTGTCAAACACAGGAGGGAGGATAAAGCCAGGCAAATTGTGCAGTAACAGCTGTAAATTATCAAAGAAATGGGGAATGTACAATTCAACAAAGAAAAAGTCACAGTAAATATGTCTGGAAAGGGCCTACAGCAGTCACCTGGTGGTGTCCCTGCCCTGATGATTACATGTGTATGTTACGTAGCTTAGTTGCTAAGAGACTTCCATTTCAAAATCCTGCTCAAAATCTGTGTACTTTAGGATGGTTTGGATCCAAACCAAAGGTTCCAAGTGTTATTTATGTTTTGATAGGCCAAGTTAAGGTCTAAAACTCAAAAACTGAAGATTTCAAAGGCACGTTCGTATCTGGGCCATTTGTTTCCTGTCTGCTTTCAGACATTTGATTTCTGTTTGATGTGAGCAGGCTTGACCCATGCTCTGAGCCAGTTGGCAGCCATGCTCTTGTGTTAGCAGAACACCACATTTAAAATGATTCATCCAACTGAGTTTCCACACAGCTTCTAGTGAGTTGGAAGAGCTTGCATGCATTCACCTGCAAAGGGCTAGCTGAACATATTCTGATCTCCTTTGGAATGACAGTCATCTTTGCAGTATCAGAGAGATCTCCCTCTCTATTAAAGCAAAAGCCACTGCCTGTCCTGCTGTGCCACATCCTGGGGGCAGAGTTTTCAGGTCTAGGGAACTTAATCCTCTGTGAGACGTTCCTCTCCCTCTCTGCAGCATAGCTGGGATTTTGGTGTGTTATGGCATGGTGGGGTGAATTTGTTCTGGAAGACCTGATAATTTTTCCTTTTGTATAAGGAGCCAGATGGCTCCTTGTGTGAGGGCACATAACCCTTCTGGTAGTGGTCATATGCTGACATCTGATCATTATGTACAGGTGGACTTACTGTTCTGTATAATTTTGAGGAAAGCTAGGCTTCCAGGTGCTCCCTTCGATGAACGGAGCATACACAAGAAAAGTATCAGTGGTGTGATCATTTGAAATACTTTCTTGTACTCAAAAAATTGAGTGTTTATTCCTTGATTCCAAATTCAGTGTTCATCCAGACTTAGAGGTTTGAACTATACTTATAAAGTTATTACCAATTGCTAATTTAGAGAAGCCTACTTTTTCTTCTGTACCTCAGATCTAGATAAACGCAAAATTAGAAGTTACTTGAACTCATTTGAGATTAAATAAAAGAAAGATGAGAGAGGAACTTGAGGAGATGGAAATACTTCAGGGTGTTATCAGATATTTCCTGAGTACTTACATTCCAAGGTGATACATACCTAAAAATGCCAAAGACAGATGTATCTGACATTATCTCACCCTCTAAATGCTTGGTAAAATTACAAGAAAACTGAAACAATAGAGAAAAGGGTTTTTTCTTCTTTTTATATCTTCACCTGTGACAGTTACCCTTAAGATAGCCTGTCACAGCTTTTGATAAAAGGTCCATCTTCAGTTTTAAATGGGAGCTATCTATGCTGAAGCATACATTCAAAAGCACTTTCTATAAACAGTCTCTCAGGAGCCTTTAGCTCCCTGCTAATATAACAACAACCACCAAAAAAAAAATCAGCTCCTGAGTCAAGCTGTCCTTGTTGAAGGAGGCAGGTAGGAAGCCTTCAGCATGTGTGGCTCTGAGCCCCAGCTCCACGCTGCTTTGGCCCCTGGCAAGTCACTTCCATTTATCCCGTGTGGGCGTGAAGGTAGATTGTTTCATTTACACACACGAGGGAGCTCACAGCCATTCTGCACGGGCAGAAAGGATCCAAGGCAGTGAGGAGTCAGGCACTGATTACTCTCCTCTCCTTGAAAATCTGGGGCAACTCTGTGGAAGTAAATGAAGCGCCAGTTTGCCCTCACAAGCAATTTTAGTGATATGTCGAATAAATTTATGTGGCTCAGGAGAAAAAGAAGCAAAGAACTTAAGCCAACTCTTCACCAGGTGTAGCATGGTATAATGCCTTGCACTCCCAGGGAACAGTGTCCATTTACTCCACGTGAGGATCTGTCCCCAAGTCCCCGGGAAGCAGACAGGCATGTGTTCCCTGACCTTCTGCAGCAGCAGCTCCAGGACTTGGATGAGACAGAAGCCTGTAGCGAGCCCAATACTGTCTTCCTCCCTCCGCCCCAGCCCCTCCTTTTTGCACACAGTGTTGTCAAGAATACTTGCTTGCAGAAAATGCATTTTGTTCAGGGATAAACGCCCCCCCCCTCCAAATTCTGCAGGAGGAAAGTGTTTTTCCTTACCACACATGTACAGTGTCCAATAGAGACTGATTTAAAAAAAATAAATAAAAATTCAAGTGTCATCCAGGGTGAATTATGAAATCATTCAACAAGGAGGGACTGAAAAACTCTGCATCATGCTGGCTGCTTTTCTGCACTGAAGGATCTCGGCGGGTCTGCAGCACAGCAGAAAGGCAGTGATGGACAGAGGCGTGTATGTGAGCGTGGGGGAACGGGGACCTCTGTGTGGGGGTGCAGGCGGCACGATATGAAGAGAAACAGTGAGTAGCAAGGACCTCTCCTTTGAGACAGAAAGGCTTTAAAGCATTTTTCTGAAAGGGTATGCCTAGGATATACTTGGCGGGGGGCGGGGGGGACCACAAAAAAAAAAAACCAACTTACAATAATAAAGCCTGCTGCAATGGTGAACTCAATACTGCCACCCAGAGTACCTTTGTGCATAATATATGATGCTCTGCGTGGATCTGGAGACTAGGAAGATTAAAGCAGATGATCTTTCTGCATGTAAAGCAGCCACAGACAGCATGATGGATCATTACTGAATACATTTCTGGCCATGCATAATTGTGTTCTGATCTTCCTTGTTAAAGTACTATCACCATCTCTCTGCCGGACTATATTACTTAACTCATAAGAGCCAAAAGTATTCTTTGCTTTTACAGTATTTTGTCCATAGCTATCTCTGGGGTCCCTTGCATTAGAAGCATGCTACTGCCAGCTACAGTAAAATGTTAAAATGGTATCAAAACATCCTACAGCAGACCAGCAATGTGAATCAGATAATTGACTGCATGTAGGGTCTGGAAAATAGGTGTCTGTTCAGATGTTTGGGAGGCATGTGGCTTGTTTCTTTTTAACCCTTTGTGGTTATTTCTGCAGTCTGATGCAGAACAGAGGTCTGTCATGTATTTTCCCATCATTTCTATTTGACATTTTATCAGAAAAATATTGGAAGTGTATTGTGCAGTGTATTTACTGAACAAGGGTTAAATATTCCTTAACATACACTGTATGGCTATGCAATACAAAGATTTTGTGAATGATACAGAAGAAGGAAAAAAAAAAATCTCTGACTTAACAATGAAAAGCAAAATCAAAGGGGCTGTGATGTGGTGCAATGACAACAGCACAGGGAGTTTCAGCAGTCCTAAGATTACAACTGCTGAGGCACGGGTAGGTGATCTCGGTCTGCACAGCTGAGCTGCAGATCTCCTGGAGACAAGCTCTTTGGTGACATGGTTTGTACCACTGCCCCCTGCATTGGGTAGGAGAGGTTTGCTGCAGGCTTGTCAGAGTGGATCATTTCCTGCCTTTCCATCTGTGGTGTGTCAGCTACATTGTATAGTCCATAATTTATCCCCTGCATTAAACAAGCCTTTATTGCATGTGGTACCTATGAACACTTAGATGCCTTTCACTTCTTAATAAATACAAGTGAGAAATGCAGAAACTTCCAGAAAATGTCCTTTCTTCCTTCTCTTCACTCCCCCCATCTCAGTAAAGAAAAACTGGAAATTTGAGGAAAGATTTCGATCAAACTTTTATGTTTGGATTTTTTTTCTCAGAAATAAATAGCGAAAGAGACTTTGAGGCAAGGTTTAAAATGGTGATATTACTGCTTCACTTAAATCCCAGAAGCATTTCAACAGAGTCTTTATTTCAACACTTATCATATTGGCAATTATTCTATATATATATATATATAAGTATAGATATACCCACAAACACAGTCTTCAATTTATAGTCAGCATTACTTTTGGTCCTTAATATTGTGCTGTGCTAATTAAGTTATAATGAACAAACATACAAATATCATATTTGCTTTCCAAGCTTTTTCTTCTAGAAATGTGAGAGTATTTTATCTACATTATGACATTAATTCTCTATTTACATACTGTTACTGAGCCTTTTGGATATAACCTTCAAGAATATTGATGCTTTCTATTTTCAACATTTTAATTTGTATCCTTAAAAAGAGATGTCAAAAGGCAAAAAGTGCACTTTAATGCCTTATTATGCAGCTCAGCTCCATCTCTAACACTAAGAATATTTGTCATTTATTCAAAACTAAAGAATTCATGCCATAAATATACCTCATGATATTTTGTATGTGATAAATAAATGATACAAATAATACATTTTTCACTCTCGAAGATGTAAATATGGTTTAGTTTGGATCAGCACATAGCTAGAATAGGTATATAATTTTTTTCAATGCTTCCATTTTTTTCTCCTTCAAGATGTCTGGAATCGTCTCATTCCAATTTGCACAGGACTCAATACAAAATGACATGTTAATAGAAAGCAACTGGTTGCCTCCAGGCAGAAAAAGATTAGCTTTTCCTGACCTCAAAATATTTGCTTGTCATATAAGTTGCAGAGAAGAGAACCATTTGGCTTAGCTCTTGTTTCAGGTCCCATTTCTCTGAGCTGTGCAGCGAGGCACACGGAGTTCCTCTCTGTCCCCTGGTTGATTGCAATACGTCCAGAGTTTCATGGCATGAATTGCTGCTGCACTGATCGGTGGCCTGGCTGCACAGCTCTGGCTTTGCTCATCTTGAAAGTGGGCCCCTGAAGAATATAACTGTAGGCAGTCTTCACGGGACAGGTTTTCCACCATTCCTCTTTAGATTTTACCTGTGCCAGACCATCGCGAGTCAGGAGAGGCCACCTCAGGTCCTGCACTGCAGCTGCACCTTTCTAGAAAGCAGTAAGTTGATACCTCCTTCCTGAGGAGAGTCAGGCAAGTAAGCCCAGCTAGTCCAAAGGAAATCTGCCAGCACAACAGAATTGGTTGTACCTGTAAAATCAAGAACTTATGATGGTTGTTCCTTCTGAACTCAATTCTCATCTTTAAAAAGATTCTGAGATGCAGTTGCTTGCTGAGTGGTCCCGTGTTCCACTCACAGCCCAAATTGCAAGGGCTAGCACCAGAAATAGCTGCATAGTCCCTAGCCCAGTCCTGTTAAAAATATGTAACTTCTCTGTAATTGCAATTGTTTTCCTGTCTCTGGGTGACTAGTAGTGAAGAGCAGGTTCTCTTTCAGGAGTTGTGCGGTCTGCTCCTGCGGCTGAATGAAGGGGCAGGGGTGGCAGCAAAATGTATCAGAATTCACATCAGGCTTCCAAAGATGTGAGGAGGCCCTGAAGTGCCCCAGGAGATCAGAAAGCCTAGAGAGAGATTAGGAGCCATGACAGCTATGTCTATGTGTTGAGAGGTCAGGAGAAGCATAAGGAGAGACCATGCGTTTCCATCTGAGAGGGTTCAGGATAGATGGGTGATACTAAGGTGTTCCGTCTGTATCTCTTTCCATCCCCTGCTAGGTGTGTATTTCCCCTACATCGCACTAGAACAGCATGAACTTCAGTTGGAAGCAAGAGCTTCAGACATGGGGAAAAATGGAAATGCAAACTTGTGCCATTTAGAAATGTCTGCATTTCCTCCAACCATGTAGTCTTTTTCCTTTTTCTGATGGCAGCATCCCACTGATGCCTCCCTGGGCTGTTTAGCTTTCTAAAAGCAGTCCTGAATGTGTATCCTGATGGGCTGCATGCAGAGAGTATTCTAAAAAGCCACAACTTACTGGTCTGTCAATGCAATATTGTGCTTAGGCAGGTTGTTCCATTTCTTAGAGATGCAGGAGGTGTCTAGTGCTAGCAACTGAAAGCTGCTCTTTGATGCCCTTAAATTTCAAAGGTCAACACAATAGCTGAAAATTGCACAGGACATCAGTGAGAGACTGCAGAGGGTCATGTCCAGAGCTCTTCATGCAGGAATAGAGGAAGAAACTTGCAGGACTCTAAACCAAGCTCAAGGTGGTGATGAAACCTTCTGCAACCCTCAGTTTGAATTCAGAGGTTTGATCTCAGAGCATTCTCTGTGCCAGCATGTGTTTTCTGAAGTTTTTCATTAGCAACATCTATAGCTAAATTGAGAATTCTCTCTGTTTTTTACACTGGAGGAATTTCTGGAAAAATTACTGGTTTAATACTGGAGAATGACGGTAGAGCTACATTAGATTTTTTTAACTAAGGGTTATGGACTGCCCAAATTGTTATTTCCATCAGAAATAATGGTGCCTACAAGAGCCAGCAGTCTGCCACAGCTTTTAGATGACTGACTTCTGTGTTTAATGGAAGCCAAGGATAGGACTCTTCTTGTTGCAGAAGTGTTCACAGTAATTATTATAGATAAGTCATAAGGACGTATTTCCAGCAGCACATAAATCTCAGTCAGATTGGAATAAATTGTAGGTACCTAAAAGCCAGACTTGATTTCCAGTTTTAGTGAAACTGGAAAATTTTCAACTGAACTTCTCAGCTTACACATGTTCATGCCCCTAAAATGTTTCCCTTTGGGGTTTGTGGGGTTTTCATTGTTTTTCTTTTTCCTCTTTATTGCCAGATACCTCTTAGGCATAGTCCATTTTCTCTCTAGATATTTTATTATTTTTTTTTAAGACAACGCACTAAGGAATTAGTTCATGCAAGTCATCCCTGAGCACAACCAAAAAGCCTTGAAAGTGATGAAATAGGTTTGTGTCATCTGTGAATGCATTGATATTCATCCCTATTATCCTTCACATTTTCAATTCAAGCAGCACATAATTTATCAGCTCTGTTGTCAAATGCTGCATGTAATTGTGTTTAGCAGAAAGCTTGGTGGGAGGGAGGGGAGAAGAACGGAAGAAGAGATAACCGTTCACTTCTTCCCAGGAGAAGAGCGGGGCAGCACTTTGAATCTGGTGGCCGTCTACTCTTTTCAAGTACTCCCACGGCACCACGTTGTAAGAGTGGAACAGCATATCAAATGTAAGAATGTAGTTCAGCGGGGGCAACACAGGTAGATGTCTTACTGGAACAATGCAGAGCATGAGACTGGGACCGTTTTGAGGGTTTGCCAAGCTGAACAGTCGCATGGCAACCCTTCTGCTCATTGCCTTCACTCTGAAAGTGAAGTCACTTGGATATAGGATGTCAGTGCACTGTAGTAGTCCCCTTCCAGTATTAATATTATTCTACTTCTGAAATAGTTTACTGCTTTTAGCCTCCTTCAAGAGATCAGGGATGTGACATGGTTAACAGATGGCACCACCTAGATAGGGGATGTCAGCTGCAAATGATGCTGCCAAAAAGCTACCAAGATGCTTTAACTTCTGTAGGAGAACATGAATTTGTTTGTGTTCACTGGCCATTCGGCCTTCAACAGCCATGGAGTCACAGCAGAAGACCTGACAATCAGATTCCTTAATGTGTACTT